TTGCGATGTTTGTTGAGCGCAACCAAAATTACTATTATTTTACGGTTATGGTTGTCCAATCCAAGAATTTTAATTGAATTCCAAGAAAGGATTAATTTTATCATTTTAATTGTGATTATTTTGCTGTTGAATTTATTAACTTGATTTTTTGGTTTCTTTTTGGGGGGTGTCAAATGTGAAACCAAAGTTGCCAAAATAATTGTCTGTTCCATTAGTTGAAGGTGTACCAAAATTGGCGAACTCTTCGTTCGCTCCTTATTTCCACCTAAGTTCTTATTATTTTGAGGCAGTTTTATTTTAAGTGTTGTTTGTTTATTCCTAATGCACATCTAATTTAAGTTTCTACCAGACAGCTTATGATACTTTTTTCGGAGGTTCAGGATCCTTCAGAGGACTGAGATCATATTCATCATTATCCTCATTGTTTAAAGGCCGATTTTGAGTATTCCTACCTTTGACATCGTTGCGAGGATTATAATATTAAGCGAAAGGAATATTGTCCAAAAAAAGTTCATAAGAGTCTGATCTAGGGGCAATAGTTACAAGACACTTTTACAGGTAATGAAGGTATCTAAAATCACCAAAAAAACTGAAAATAATGATATGGAAAAAGTTATACCTAGATTCTTAATGAATTGATCTCCCATTGTGTCTAACTTCTTTCTTGCCTGAAAGGGACGAAACAAAAAGGGCGATTTCCTGTTCAACATTATCTAAAAAGAACTTCCACACATATTTCTTTTTTGAACTAAAGTTGCCATAATGATTAGACTTACCTTCTAACGTTGCGACCGACTTCTTATTCTGAAAAATGAATGGCTTTAATAAACATAAGTAAAAAGGAAATTAAAATATAGAGTAGTTACATGACATACTAAAGAATTATATAATAAATATCAATCTCAATCTGATAAGGATAGTAAGAATTTTTAAATGAAAAAGGTGGTTCAATTACTCTTCTTTATTGGTTAGAATTGTGTGTCTAATAAAACAAAGTGATCCTCTCATGATCAAAAACCAAACTCAAAATTTTGGTCCAATATTGTCTGCCTAAAGTGAAAAGAGGGATCAATTCATTTAATGAAGTAAAAATAGATTTATCACAGTATTTAGTAAACTTAAATTATGAATACTATCACTACTCTTCGTATTAATTCTCTTTATCATTTTAGTACATGGTCTAATTTACTAATAAATCATTGTAATAGTTGAAGCCGAGAGGAAATTAAGGAAGGAAACCAAAATTGTAAAGGAGACTTCTATCTGATGTTATTGGTTATGGGTAGACCATCTCTTCAGGGTATGTTGGTTGGAACATTGGAAAGTCTAATTGATGTTAAGATATAATGGGTTATTGATAGAAAGGGTAAAAATGCTAGATTGGCTAAGTAATTTGATTGTCCTTTCTCTTTCGCCCTGCACCTTTTTATCGTTTCTTGACTTAGTGAATGAAAGGATTGAATTTTTAATGATGTGACCTAATTTATAAATTGAATTCATAATACCTACATTAAGAAGGACTGCGACTCCCAATAAGCTCACTCATTTATTTGAAGATTTTATTGCTTTTCTTTTAATCCTGAGACTCCATAATTTATTTATGCTATTGGAGAAAATCTAAATAAGTTTGATGTTCTTATTGGCTCCAATGTCCAGTGTTTTAAGTAGGATTAACAATTTGCCTTTTTTTATTTTTCCGACGATTATGAACTGTAGAAACAGGCTGAATGGGTTAGATAACTCCTTCTTCTTCCTTTAATTGTTAACTCAAACTCATGTAAATATTTTTATGTTTATTATTTTATGTAATAACAAATATCTTTTCACCATGTTTTTACTGGTGCATATTTTGGAATTGTGCTACCCTCATGTTGGATTGTTTATGATGCCGAATAATTTCCAGCCTTAGCGCATTTAACAAGATCTGGACCATTCAATAATTCTGCAATAAAACTAATAAAATGTAAACTTAATTATTACCCTCCGCAAAAAGAATCACCAGCACTGTTTGTATCGACGATCTTTGAAGCATCAATCAACTAAACTTCAACTGTTATGATTTCATTCTTTTTAGCAATCAAAGTTGGTTTCTTACCTTAAGTGCATACAACCACTCTCTCTCTTTGTCCATGTTTTTCATATCCAGCTATTTATTACATCACTTATGGGAGATCGCCCTCAAACTTCAAATTCTTAGCAAATTAATCAACTTCCTCTTCATTACCAAACAAGTAATCAACATATGGGAGAACAGCCAAAATCTCGTTGAATTTATCACTTACGGCATTTACACTTGAAAGAGTCAAGCATGTGTTTCACTCCACTTT